TCGAACCCCTGACTTGTGGCGCACGGGGCCGACTCTCTACCGGCGCGGCTACGACGCCACAGTGTGGGGGGCCTGGCGAGCTAGGCTGAAGGGACGAGTCAGAGCAGTGGCTTGAGCGGGAGAAGAACCGGTTCCATCAGGACACCCTCTCACCTGGAGCTTCGAGACCGACCTCGTGGCTCTTTGATATCGCTGCGAAATTTGAATTCTGAGTCGGGGGTTCTAATACTCGACGCGCCGTCATATTATTCGTTTTTATGCTTGAATTTTTACACACTGTACAGGAAGTAATCGACGCTTTACAGACACTTTGTTTCGAGGGAACGGTGCGATACACCCTGCTCCCGCCAGTTTACGCACTTCCGACCGTCTTTATTTTCTTACCCCTGTCCCTCCTCCTCCCTCCTCTCCTCCCCACCCCCACCCCGCCGCTCCTCTTTGGAAACATAGAAACGTAAATAAACAGTGAAATCGCCGTCAATGTCTGCTCAATACCGATAACACCTATCCCAAATTGGTCATAGGATTATAATCAGAATTTTAGGGTCGACAACCCCCTTTTCGGTATTCATCGCAAGGGATAATGCTTGCTGGTTTCCAGCTCGGAATATTGATTGTTCTCGTTCCGGTTATTTCGAGGTTAGTGTACTCTGGCTCCATTTTTACCACACAAGTTGTAAATTATTTTTTCAGGCTGAGCAAGAGCAAATGATGCCTGTCTTTTGTAAACTTGGCTCTTGGCTCGCTGTTTGCTTTAAAGCAATTGTTGAAAAGGTGTTTAATGGGTATTGGTACAATTCTCCATTATATACTGTTGTAGGTTATTTCAAAAAGGTAACTGTCAGTGTTTTATCATATAACATATTTTTTATTCTGTTTTATTCTTGTGGAACAGCAAAATGTATTACTTCTGGTTGGGGTGCGGGCTTTTATAGTCAAGGAAGGGTTTTAGCCCTATTTTGGGGAAACATTCTAAACAATCAATCAATGTGCATTGCAGCTAATTTGCAGCTGCCCTATCTGCTGTTGTAATAATTGTGCAAAAGTATAGAGGAGATGTGCACAGACTACAGTATGTCCAGAGGGATACTTGAGTGCAGTGCCAAAATAGTTTTTGGAAAGTCCATGGTCATTTAGAGTATGGGGGTAGAGGCATATTTAAAAGTGTATTGCATGGAGTAAATTATTTGTAATTAATAGTTGAGAAATAAAGGAAAGCAAGCATTAAAAAGATTGCGCTAAAAGTACTGTTTAATATGATTGCAGGAACTCGGCCTGGAAATGTTCTTGATTTGAGCAAAGAAATCCATGGAGTCATTTCCAAAAGAATAGGTGAGTTGACGTGACAGTTACCAACACTGGTCCAATTTTTCTCTGTACAGACTATGAGGAGCTTCCTTTCGTGTGCATCAAAGGGCGGTTTTTGATGGTTTTTATTGTGCCTCGGTTCTTTGTTGTTGATTTCACACCTCCTCTGTCAAAATGCAGGCTGATTTGCTATCATTAAAAATGTCTTTTAAAAATGTTGCAATTTTGGAAAATTGCTAAAATTGGTTTGAATTGGTCGGACAGACTCCCTTTCACTTGCCCTGTCTAAATATCATAGTGCTGACCCACTACAGCGGAGTTCTTAGCTAGTGCGCCTTAGGTAGCATACCCACCCATAGTAGAGAGACCACCACTTAAAACTCAAGTTTCTGTGGCCAGGGGTGGTTTCTGACAGAACGAAAGGTAGTTTTGTGGTCCCCTGGTCCCCCCTGTCGATTCGACTACTTTTCCGTCGAAATCCGGACCCATCAATTTTCGCTAAAAACACAAAGGCT